GACATCTGCGGCGTGGATGTGCCCACTCGTCAGTATAGGTTTGAAATCGTTTACAACTTACTATCGCTTCGGTATAACTCGCGGATCCGCGTCAAGACATACACCGATGAGTTGACGCCCATTGAGTCCATCTGCGAGCTCTTCAAAGGCGCCAATTGGTATGAGAGGGAGATCTGGGATATGTTCGGCGTCTTCTTCATCAACCACCCGGACATGAGACGCATCCTCACTGACTATGGCTTCGAAGGACACCCTTTCCGGAAGGACTTCCCGTTAAGCGGTTATACAGAGGTGTGACTTATTAATGGCTTTGATTTGAGAAATGTGTTGACTTTAAGACATTGTTGTGATTCTTAGTGTCGTTATGACGATGAGGTGAAGAGAGTAGTCATCGAACCCTTGGAAATGACACAAGAATTCAGAAAATTTGATTTGCAGTCGCCGTGGGAACAGTTCCCCAACTTTAGGTCAGTTGTGATTCTTAGTGTCGTTATGACGATGAGGTGAAGAGAGTAGTCATCGAACCCTTGGAAATGACACAAGAATTCAGAAAATTTGATTTGCAGTCGCCGTGGGAACAGTTCCCCAACTTTAGGTCTGAGGCACTGCCCGTCCAAGAGATACCTTTACCTCAAACCCAACCCCCAAAAACTGATGCAAAGGAAGCGCAGAAAAAGTAGAGTTTGTTTCAAATAATTAGATATAATTTATACAAATTGAAACCACAATTGGATTTGAATGCAAATCATTGGTTGAAATTTATGTAAAATACTGTTTAGTTGATATAAATTCAATGAAATCATAAAAACAAAATTATATAAATACCGATACAATAGAAATAACAATAACTCGAAAATCTCAATAAAAACTTTATTCGACGTGAAGACTGTGTAACAAATCATTTAACTGTTGCTGGAATTTAGCGAAAGAGAAGTTGTGTTTGACGTGATTGTGTCCGTTGACACCCATCTCTTTGGCCAGACTTTTATCCAAAACAAACCTTTTCATGGCTTTCGCAAAGTCTTTGGCTTCCGGTCGACACAGAACACCGGTTTCGTTGTGTTTGACTGTCTCTCGCGGACCGCCACTATTGACGGCAATGACCGGACGGCTCATATA